CAAGTGCTTCGCAGTCAGAATTCATATACTGTGATCACCCTGTGACAAGAAAGCTGCAGACCACACCTGTTGTTCCTGTGTTGGCTGCAAGAGGAACGGGACCTTTCCATAGATATCGGTTTCACTGAGACTGGGAGCAAACTAGTGTCCTACCGTCTGTCCCAGGTCTAGCCCCCCTCACCCCTGGCTTTGGATTCCAGCCCTTCACAGCTTTCTGACTCTTCTGGGTTAACTTGATCTTCCTATAGGATGAGTCCCAAACTCTCTGAGTCCCTATGTGACTCCAAACAGGCTGTAGTCCAGGCCTGCCTCCCTTCCCACCTTATCCCACCCTAAGATGTTCCCAAGAAGGTACTCTAGACCTTTTTGTCTCTGATGAATGAAGGATTCCCTTTAGTGGGCAAAAAGTAAAAGCCTGAGGGACAGAAAAGCAGCACTTGATGTGGATTTTTGATTCAAAACCCAGTTGACTGTTTTTCTGTGTGGTCCAGGCTCTGTTGCCTCCTATATAGGATACTCAGTGATCCTCCATTGTCCATGGGCAGCTTTGAAGGTGTGCCTGTAAGTATTTGCAAGGAATATAAAAGGTTAGTTGTAATAATCTGATGGAGAGTAATATTTATGATGGTGGGTGAAACTCAGAAAGAAATTTAAGGCTATTTCTGTTCATTTTGTCCAGGTCTCTGCTCCCATTTTGGCACCCAGAATTTGTAAAATGAACCAAATTAGAGTGTTTTGGCTTCTTTGGTTTTGTGTGTTTAAGTTGTGCTGCTTCTGTTACTGTGTTGGAAAGAGCATCAGCACAATCTATGTCCCACTCTCCTACAGCTTTATGTCATTTGGAAGACACCACCATAACAGGCCATTTCAGCCTCCCAGTGGCTGTCCTTGCCAGTCTGTTGCACAAAATGGTGTTTTTCACCCTTCATCAGAGATGCAGACGTGTGCTGCAGCACTACAGTAAATAACAGACCACAGTTTGTTTTCTTTAACCTTTGTCTAGCTGTATTTCAAAACTTACAATTTATCTAGTAGCTTCATCAGGAGGCTGGGATGTTTCTAAGGCAGTGTAAGCATAGATACCACATAGCTGAGTTGGTTGAGAGAGCGTGACTAGTGGGAATGAGAAAATCCACCATGACTGTGGTTTTAACTCCAGGGTTTCCAATGTGAACTTTATGAACTTATCATTAAAGCTGCCATCACCTTCCAGGCTCTGTCCTTACCCTTGCTGTGCTTGGATCTATCTGACTCAGGGCTCAGCACCCACTTCACTGTGTACTCTTCAGCCTAACCCTGGTTTTTCTCCCTCAGTCTTGTGCCTGCTTCAGCTCAGTTCCTTCTGTTCTGCAGTGACAGACACAGAGCTGTAGTGCAGGTCTGTAATGGGGGATAGCTGCTAAATCTTTGAAAAGGAGTAAAGTGTGCACATTTAAAATATAAAAGTGAATGTTCCAGTGGGCGCTATAACAGAATGCATTTTTACTTTTGCCTTTATTAGCCCCCCAATAGATTTCGTAATGTTTCCTTTCTGGTTTTATTTTGGTGGTTCTTTTTCTGCCTTATCTATTAAATATTACTACATTCCATTAATATGTAAAATAGGACTATTCAGTCTGCAAAGCTGAACATGTACACAAATTAGCAATGGGAGAGTTGTTTTGTTTTGGTTTGGTTTTTTTTTTTTTGAGTTGGATGTTTGTGTTGGGTTCGAAGTATACAGTCTTCTGGTCTTGTGGACATGTGAGAGGGGATTCTTTCTTCCTCTGTGCATATTCTGTTCAGCAAGTTGACAGTCTGATATTGATTAGGGCTTTTAGATGCAACAGGAGTACAGCTAATAAGAGTATAGGAGTACACCATGACAGGTGTGTATTTGTGTGCTGTGTTATTCCCTAATGAATTGTCTGACTGCCAGATATGTTAAGAGGTTAACGACTGAGCTATTCTCCTGGAGAGATACTGATGGAGCCTGGTAGTTTTGCAGCTGAAGAACCAGCTGTGCCAGCATAAGAGTTTTATCTGTCTATTCCCCCATAATCATGAATTAGTTATGCTAAGGTGATACTCAGCAAAATGCAGCTAGCAGTGAGACCAGAAGGGTCTCAAGATGGTTAGTGTCAGGGTGAAGAGGATAAAAGGTGATTTTCCAGCTTGTGCTGCCTGCTCTGCTTACCCTTTCTGTGCAGCCAGTAATCCCATGGTCATAGTTAACTGTCAGTAATTTACCATATTTGGATTCCCGAAACAAAATGCAATGTTTAGTTCAGCTTTGCATGGCAAACAGTTCCTTATGGAGCTTAATTGCTTTGTTTACATGTAGCTAGTTACTTATCATGTGGCAAGAACAATAGGCTGACTGCCTCTCCTGACCCATGATCACAATGAGATAAAACACAGAAGACAGTGAAGCTGTATTTCTTAAACAGACCACAGGTCAGATGCAGCCTCCTTGGCTGGGTGCGTCATAGAAAACCTGCTGCATGACATACCCTTTGTCGCAGCTGTGTGACTTTGCCAAGCGTCCTCACTGTCTGATCTTCAGCTTAAAGCAAGTGATATTTCTTGGACCTTTCTGTTTCACGTGTAGTAGGCACCTTTCTGAGAGCTGTCTGACTCCCTGACCAGACCTGGCAGAGTGCACACGGTGAACACGAGACCATCACATGAGGCTTTGACCTCAGGGTCTCCCACAGCTTAACCTGGACTGTGCCTGCTTGGCCGCAGAGGCAGCTGGGTTTTTTCTCTTCAGTATGGAGGCAGGGGCAGCATTAGCCTTGATTTCTCAACCAGCCACACCTCTCCTGTGGGATGAGGAGCACAATGGAGTTTGCTCCAGTTAAGCCAGATCTCTGCCAGTCAGTCACTCCTGCTTACTGACAGGAGACCTTTTAACAACGGTGCTCCAACCATGCCAGAACACTTTTTTTCTTCTTGTCACACAGTTCTCCAACCGCTGGCAGTACCCTGTGATCCAGCATGACAGGAGTGCATGACCCAACACATGCTTTCCTGCCCAGAAGTTGAGGAGTTCATTCTCAGGTCTGCCAGACTAACAGAGACAAAAGAAATTCTTTGCTGGGGACTGCAGCTCACACCCTGATGGAGTTCCTTTCGTCTTGGGGGAGCATGGGGCTGACGCCAGGTCTCCCTGCATAGCAGAGCTTTTCTGAGCTCTGAGCAGAGAGGACATTACAGAGATTTTTATCTGTTTGCTTCTTCATTTCACTGGTGGCTTTCCCCCTCACGTCTGAATTAAAACTCCGAAAGTTTGCTGAGAAAGACTCATAGTTTGTTCCTCAGATAGTTTCTGTTGGCAAAAGGGAATTCTTCATTACACCTACTCGTACCAAAGGAGTAAAGTAGATGTTTTCCATTAATTTGCCTGAGGTACAGAAAGCTGCAGCCTTGTTATTATAGACACAGGCATATCAGCTGTGTGAGACTTACTGCCAACCCTGCAAACTGGAGAACAAGTTGCTCACAGATTTTGTCAATCTGTGTGCAAATGGGAATGAGAGGCCATTGAAAATATGTGCATAAAGTTTAAGTGCAGAACATCTGTAAACCAAAAATCTTCTTTGTCTTACTTTTTCCGTGATTGAATTGTCATCTGACTGGCACAGTTGCGTGCTCAAATCTTAGGTGCAGTTCACATTTGTCAGTTCCCCTTGAAGAGATGTCAATGGAGGCTGATATCCTTTATGGCAGTATATCTCTGCAGCTGTTACTTTCCCTATGTAGGCAATCTCTCACTTGCAGAGATAATGCAAGGCAGAAATATTTCCTCTTTGTGTGTGTTTGTGGCACAGAGAAACCATGTCATGCAAATAACAAGACCACAATGACAGCAGTATTCTAGAGAATACTGGAAGTTATCATTACCTTCCCAAGCCTTTAGACTGTGAAAATAAACTTTAAAAGTCTGCCGAAGATTTAAGCAGTAAGAGCCCCTTCCACCACCTCCCAGATATAATGTGAGCTGCTTCTAGGGCTGGAGGCATTCTCAATAAAGACTGCTGCTTTTTTGAGCTTACAGGCATTTACAGCTACATTATAAATTGAAAGGTTAGCATGTCTGCTCTTGCCTGGTCATTCTTCTGCTCATGTAATGCAGAGCCCAGTAGTCATCACAAAAAAGAAAACTGTGAGAAATATGTCTTTGAGGAGGAAAACCCCCCATAAGAATCAATTATATTCCTCACAAGAATTCGGCATCTGAGTCAAGGGTTCCCAGAGACTGGCCTGGAAAGCTGCTGAGTATGTGACCCTCAGACAGATTTTAAATCGTGGCTGTTCTGTGCTGTCATGCTGATTGATTTTTTTTTGTTATACAGCCCTTACCCTGATGTCCCACCCATTAAGTTGCCCTCCATGAACAAAACTCTGGGAACCCCCGAGTTCATCATCCAAGAAAACCTTTATTTTGGAAGACAGACTGAAAAAGATAATCTATTTTGTCAAGTGTTACCACACCTCTGTAAACATACAGTCTCCTCATCTGGATGATCTCATGCATATATTTGTCAAAGTTCTTGCTTTGGGACGGCATTTGCAGCAAAACAGTAATATACGCAATCTATAAAAAGTTTTTGGGTGAGATCCAATACAAGTATCTCATGGTGAAATCATTCTTAATATTATTTAACAGCTACCTGGTGTCTGGTTCAGGGAAACTGGTTGCAACTCCGTCTTCCTTTAGACACTTAAATGAATGGCACATGTGAGCTTGGATGTTATGTGAATGTAGGGCAAGGACAACGTGGATCGTAGTTTATCTCTAAGAATTGTCTGCATGTTTTGCCTCCATTTTTTGACAGTGGATTGTTGATAGAGTAATACCTGCTAAACAGGTACAAGCTCATCAGCACTCCTTACCAAAGTAACCTTGTCTGGAAACTCTCACCTTGTACATTGGGAATAGAGGGAAGGAAAATTGGAAATCTGTGGCTTAAGGAAAAGCATTTGGTACTACAGAAGTTAAGTGAAGATCAGCTAACCTGCTGGAGCATCACAGGCTGGAAACCTGAATGTTCTGGCAGATGCCATCATTTTGGCAACAGAGAAGGTGGCCGTCCTTCAAAGTCGTCATGGTCTTTCTCACGTAGTAGGAAGTGGCATGACTGCCCTGGATACAAACATCCTAAGAAAGAAGTGATTAGTCAGTGACTCCACAGAAATAAATGCCTGGACACAGTTGATAACAGTGAGTCTTGGAGTGCAAGGTCACAACATGAGGCCTTTGGAAGGAGTATCAGTGTTTGCAGTGAAAGATGTAATACCTACCTGTGATTAAGTCTTACAAAACAGAACAAAAAACCCCGACACCAAACCCAGCAGTCTTACAGAGTCATTGTTTTGCAGCTTTCAAAACTCTTCTGCATAATTTTTGCTAAAGGGTGATCTAAAGCCCAGGCTGATTAATTTCTGCTCCGCCTCCTGTCACCTCGGAAACAGGGAATGCCTTCTGTGAAAACGATCTGACCCTGGAGGATCCCGGATGGAAGTTCATATGCAAAACAGACTTTTTCCACTTTTTTGTTGCTCAGAGCAATAATGCAAAAGTCCACAGTAAGGTCTGCACTTCCAGCTAGGAGCACAGTGTAACAAGTACCTTGCGGTGGCTTATGGCAGACAATACCTTGTGGTAAATGCTGCACTGGAACTAGGATTACCTGTGTCTCTACTGCTGAAACTAGGGGAAAAACTTACTTTCACACTCCATAATGCAGAGCATGCACTCAGACAGTTTTAGCCCCTTATTTACTGTTGCCAGCATATTGTGGGCTGTGTTAAGTATCTATGTTATATGTCTGCCCTTGCTTGCATCCCTGGGAGATAGGGAGATTGTGTAGTGGATATGTTGACAGCAGGGTTTTTTTCCCAAATTTCATTGCTTCTGTTCTGTTCTTTATGCAGCCCACTGAAATCATCTTTTTCTGTACTGTGGAGTCTTACGAGTTCTCCCAAGAGATTTTTCTTTTTTGCTGGGCACACCCATAAAAATCAAGGAGTTCTACCTTGCAGTTTTGGTCCCTCTAAACATCAGTCTGCATACACCCATTTAAGTCATCTTACTTTTGTCCCTAATCTGTCCTAATATCTCTAGGCAATCAAGAAACTGGCCTTTCATCTATCTTGAACTCTTGAGAATTGCTCAATAGTTGCACAAAGCTATTTTTCTTCCTCCTGCAGTGAAGATAGCACCAAGTTAGTACTGTGTAATGGGCCAGGCCTTTCCTATTTGACAGGTGGCCTAAAGACGGAGAGATGTTCCTCCCTGTGTTTGGCATGGAGGCCAGAGAATCCTCTGCTATTTTAGGATTCTCATTATATTACAGGGACTTCATTTCCCAGCTTTCCTGACACTACTGTGTGGTCAGGTTGATGTACAGAGTCAATGAGTACAGTAGCCCTAAAAGATAAAGAAATGGAGCTAACACATTATGTCTGATTTTCTTGCTCCTTTGTCAGAGGCCATTATGGATTTAACAGTTTGTGGTAACTAAAAGGTTACCCTTCTAGTCCTGTTTTTTCTCTTAATGTTTCAAGAGAGATGTCAGGATTACCTTTGTAGGTTTTGGTTGGGGATTATAATCTCAACATTTGTGATTACAGTGGAGTAGGATCCTCAACTTCAGTTCACAGCTTGATGTCCTCTTATGTTGGAAATTAAGTTATGCTGAATTAAATGTTATCATCCGTTTTCTTTTGGAGACACATAGCTTGGTTTTAAATATAAATGTTTGCCATTTTGGGACAGTGTGCTAGGTTCAAGCTCCTTTAGCAAAACTTTTTTTATTGGAGTGGCTCATGTAACTTGTTAACATGCAAGAAATTATTAAGCTTTCGCTTCCTCCACTCCCATTTCCTGTTTTGATATTGAAAGGAAGCCTTGATTGCTAATTTGTGATTAGCCAGCAAACCAGAGTGACCTTAATCCTGTGGGCTTGCGTGGTGCTTGCCTGTGCAGATACCGCCTCTCTCAAGAGTGGGCTGCTGCTTCTCACGTTTCATGGTGAGAGCTGTAAACAATGTGCTCTTCTTTCCGTGAATTCATGGTCTGCCTTCTGAGAATAGAGGTAGTGCCAGGCCTGACAGTGCATGGAAGACAACACCAAAACGCTGGATGCTGCAGGAGAGAAGGGAGGCATGAGGGTGTTTTTGCAGTCTTGCTTGCCCAGGAGATGGCACTGTGCAATAGTGGGATTTTTACCTGCAGCGTTTGTAGTGTGACCCTGACCCGATGGTGATTGTCAATAAGAGTAGAGTGACTTGTGCTTCTTTAGGATCCCCAGCATTCTTCTGTGTAAAATGCATTGTACTGTACATGACTTAGGCAGGTTAGGTTTAAATCTGCTTTGAACTCCTGCATTAGGGAACTGACCTTTGTGCATATTCTAGTGTCGTCAGGATCAGAACAGGGTTTGTGAGTGAAATTGTTCTGGCTACAAATGAAGTGGTGATATCTTTGGAGCACCCTTACTTCCAAGGCTTTTGTGTCCCCCTTGATAATACCCAGACTACTGACAAAGCAGCCAAAACAAAGAGGTATGTACATGTAGTATGTGCTAGAAAATTAGAGGGATTTGAGGAGTCTCTGTGGGATGTCTTTCTGTCCTGCACGCAGTATGCTATGCTCCCATTAGAGTGCTGGTTGCTCTGGTTTAATGCTTGTGTATAAAACACACATAGCTTTTTTAAGGAATCCCTGACCCCACCTGCAAATCCCTGACCTAACTTGTGCTGTCCAACACAGCTGAGATAAATCTAGAAAATCTTCCAGGTCTTCCTCTTTTCTAATGGTCCTGAGTTGAGAAAATTTTCATTTCTCTCTCCAATAACAGTCTGAGATAGGGAACACATACAGATCTGTGGGACATTATAATCTTGAATGAATATGCTGCTTAACAAAATCTTAGGCAAGCTTATTAACCTTCTTATTTCAGTTCTCAAAAAGGTGAAAAGGGGTAATGTTTTCTTAATACAGTGGCGTTACAAGTATGTTCACAATATACCTTAAAGCTAGAAATACCATGTGAATGCTAAATAATTTTATTATTATTAATCACATCTTGAGTGGCCTGTACATCTAACACAAAGGCTTCTTAGCAAACACATGTCCTTTGAAATAGCCTGACCCTTTCCACTTTTTCAGAGACATTAATAGTTTCCTGGCTCAGTGTTTTAGGAAATGTTGTCATAGTCTGGAGGAACCAATAAAAACATAAGTCACCTATTTTGTCTGATCATTTTACGCCAGGATATTTGAGGCTGGAAGCTTTGGAGGGGTAGGAGGGGACTGCTCCATTTTTGTGGGTGGAAGATGTAAAAGTTTTAATACTCTTTTAGTATAACTTTACATAGGACTCTAGAACTGTGTGAGAAGTAGTAATTTTTGAGTTCATAGGCAGGGACTCTAGATAGCTTTAGTAACTATTTAACTAGTTTTTCCCCTTCCTAAGCCTTGTATTGCTTCACTGCGTGATGAAAAGGATGTTGTCTTTTGGGGAAGAGTATTTTGTTGGTTTCAGGCTTACATTGCCCTGTAATAGATGTAAGAGAGCTCTTAAGAAATGGCAGTGCCTTAAAACAAATGTTGGGAAATGATTATGGCTGTATGATTGGTGCCACAATAGCTTGTTGGATATGGTCAAAGCAAACCATTTCCCACAAGCAGAAAATGCAGTTACTTAAACTGAGGAACTACTACTGTATGAAATCTCAGTACAAAGCATCATTACATGACATTGTGAAAAGCAAGCCATGAGTGTCTATAATAGGCATCCAGTGACACAGTGTTCTCCATTATAAATGCCAACATTTACGATGGGCCAAACCCTGCCATCCTTACATGGTTTCCATTCTTTCCTTTCTGAGGCAAAGCCTCCAGCAAGCATGTTAGAGTCCTGTCTGTGATCTCTTGGATCTGTGGAGAGCAGACATGCATGGCAGTTTTTCCCCTACTGTGCTGTTGTCTGCTGCAAGTTTCACGCAGCCCCTAAGAGGTGGGGAGATCTGTATTACTGTTAATTTATGTTAAGTTGCATGGAGCTGGAAAAGACTATGTGAACCCATTTATCCCCTGCCACTTCCCAGAGCATCCTCCAGAGAGAACCAAAGTTTTTGCCCGTTTTTGGGAAACCATACTCTCGTTTTCTCTTCTGTATTCCGTCAGTGTTGGAGACCAGTCTAATGTTTGTCAGCAGACTGGAGAAGCTGAAGGATAACACCTACTTCATCCTGCCTAGCTATCTTTTCAGAAATGAACGGCGTCGCCAAAAGAGACAACCACCTCTGCTGCAAGCTGCACCATAATGTATTACATGGACTCTTCTCCTCCTTACCTGCCCCCCAAAGTAGAAAAATCAAACATGATTTCCAGTTTCTGCTGTAGCCTCGAACGGAGCTGGTGTGCAGCTGTCATTCAGTGTGAGTTCAGACTGTGTTTAGGCTGCAGTTCAGGTTCTGCAAACCCCCATTAAAAAATGCTTGAAGATTTCAGAAAGAGGCAAAAAGAGGGCATGGGTCCTGAGATACCTTGATCAGAGGCCAGTGCAAAGGGGACGTTGCTGCTGATCTACTACTTTTATGTTTTATGAATCCAACAAGGTGTTATCATAAGAGTTACACAAGAGGCCAACATGCCACAAATGAACCTTGGTGTTAATTCTCACTGGACATCTGTCCCTTATGTTTTTTGGAGGCTTTTTTCTCCACCTTTCAATTTAATGTACCAAATGCTCATTCTTATTCTTTTTCCCACCCAAGCTGAGGGTGAATGCATCAGCCCTGTGGCAAAGAGGCTGTGTCCTGCTACCTTCCACTCAGGAAAACCACTGGGAGATGTTGCCACAACAGTGGCTTCCCCTTTGTACTTGTCAAGATAGCATATCACTTTGTAGGCATATTTTAGCAGGTCAGGCCTAGACTTGTTACTTTGAAATGGGCCATGAGATACCCCTTTCAAATTTCCTCTTAAACTGGAGCTGGACCTGTGTACAACAGTGTCCCCTGGGTGTCCCTGAGCACTCAGTGATACGAGGAATGTTACTCAGTCCTAGAGCACAATGTACAGCCAAACTGAGACACATTTCTTTCCCAAGTAACAACACTGGAGACCTGAGGAAACATGTGCATTGA